TGGGAGGAGGAAGGAGGAGGCAGGTGATTCGAACTGACTGATTCACACGTCGCTGATGGGCTGACGAAGGACTAGAGGAGGACCTAACTGACAAGCTGGAAAGTAAGGAGGAAAGAGAGGAGGCAGGTGGGGAATTGGGCGACAAGCTGGAAAGTTGGGAGGAGGAAGGAGAAGGCAAGTGATTCGAACCGACTGATTCACACGTCCCTGATGGGTCGACGAAGGACTAGAGGGGGAACTGGGCGACAAGCTGGAAAGTGAGAAGAAGGAAAGAGGGCGGCAGGTGGGGAAATGGGCGACAAACTGGAAAGTGAGAAGAAGGAAAAGAGGCGGCAGGTGGGCAACTGGGCGACAAGCTGGAAAGTTGGAAGGAGGAAGGAGGAGGCAGGTGAAGATCTACGCGTCAAGAGCTTGCCACCTGCATGACTTGCAAGGGAGAGAGGCTCCACCAAGGAGCTGAGGACGGATCGGCGAGGCAAGCAAATGAAGAGAGTAAGCCGCCACTGGGCTGTGCGGCAGCCCGGAATAGCACTCAGTATATTATAGTATAGTATTATGGGCTGTGCGGCAGTCGAGAATAGCCCTCAGTCTACTCTGAAAGCAATACAGTAATAAGCAAACCAAAGGCAGAGTGTAGTCAAAATAACTGAATTTGACGACACCCATTTAATAAATTAAAAAAAAAAAAAAAAAACAGTAACTGAATTTGATCAGCGCCGACGTGCAGAGCGAGGATGGAGGATGGTGTTGCACGTCCGGCCGGCCGGGACTTGAACCGCTGGCGGGTATGATGAACCTCCGCCCCCCCCCGCGCCCGAGCCCGAGCCCGAGCCCGAGGTGGTGTGTTGAACGTCCGTCCGAGGTTGGAACCTGGGTGGGTTGGGTGTGTTCATGGGGTGTGTTCAACGTACAGCCCATGAACACACCCAACCCAGGTTGAACCTGGTCGGGCAAGTGTGTTGAACGTCGGAGGAGGAGGTTAGGTTAATTAAAACCTTTAGTAGAAAAGAAGTCGAAGAAGACACTGTCGTGCGATACGCCGAGCAAAAGGACAAGAGAGGGAGGAAGGCAGATGAAAAAGGGCGGGGGGGGGGGGGGGGGGGGGGGCGGAAGAGGGAATTGAAGGGAGACTGCTGCTACGGTAGGGCATACACACGCTACCTGGTAGGGCTTTTTCGACAAAGCTCTGGACGTGATTGCAGCCAGATTCATCCAGGTATCGGGTCGTAATTGCAATCAGATGCATTCTGGAATGTGCTTGTGCCAGCTGAGTATGCCCTTAGAAGTAATCACCACAGCCCATCCCGAATAAACTGGGACGGAAGCAAGAAATAGGTGGCCGAGGTGGAAGTCTATAACCTGTAGGAGAAGAACTGAATTAACCCCAAGTTAGGCACAGAGCCGTAGGAGACGACCTGAATTAACCCCAAGTGAGGCACAGAGCCGTAGGAGACGAACTGAATTAACCCCCTAGCTAGGAACAAAGCCGTAGGAGAAGACCTGAATTAAACCCCAAGCCCCAAGTGCGGCACAACGGCGAATGTGACAAAAGCGGAAGTGGCGGCTTGCCCAGAAATGAAGAGAGAAGGCGAGAGGGGGGAGACTAAGGGCCTCGCTCCACTACTCAACATTCTATCTACATGTATGTGGACTCTGTGAGATCTGGACCAAATACGTTTGGACTGAGCAAACATTTGGAATGAATCGGGACCATTATCAGCTGTAGGCACATTTTGAATGTTGTGCAGTGGGGCGAGGCCCCCTATCAGAGGTCAAGCGTGGAAACCGCCACACGAGTACAAGCAAAACGCAGGAGAAAAGCGTCTTTTTTTTTTTTTCGTGTTTTTTTTTTTTCGTGTTTTTTTTTTTACGCAGGAGAAAAGCCTAATGGTGGCCACAGGGAAGAGTTTGCAGGGCAGGATATTATAGGGAGTAAGATGGCATCAAGAAGAGCTAATAAGAGAAAGGAAAGCGGAGCACCTCCGCATATAAAGAGGGGAGAATTGGGAGGAATGGGAGATGGCGAGACGTCCGACTAGGAGCCACTCAAGAGAAATAAGGATCGAGTCCAAGGAGAACAAGTGCTTCGGAATTGGCAGCAACTTGCACGAAAGGAGGAGAATGAGGAGGGAGTAAGGAAGGAGATGGGACAAGCAAGGGAGCAGATGCAGGAGGAAGGAAGGAGATGGAACATCAAGGAGGGAGGAGAATGAGGTGGAAGGAAGGAGATGGGACAAGCAAGGGAGCAGATGCAGGAGGGAGGAAGGAAGGAGATGGAAAATCAAGGAGGGAGGAGAATGATGTGGAAGGAAAGGGACGGATGAGGAAGGAAAGGAGATGGATCGAGGAGGGAGGAGCTGGAGGAAGAACAAAGGAGATGGACATGGGAGGAAGGAGACGGATCAAGGAGGGAGGAGATGGAAGAGGAAGGAAGGGGATGGAGGTGGAAGGATGGAGATGGACAAGGAAGGAAGACATGGAGGTGGAAGGAAGGAGATGGCAATGCAAGCAAGAAGGTGGCACCACAAGGAGGAAGGACATGGCGCCGCAAGGAGGAAGGCCATGGCTGCGCAAGGAAGGAGATGGTGGCTCAAGGAGGAAGGAGATGCCCGCGCAAGGAGGAAGGAGATGGCCGTGCAAGGAGGGAGCTGGCGGAGCAACGAGGAAGGAGATGGCAGTTCAAGGAGGAAGGAGATGAAGGAGGAAGGAAGTAGATGGATGAAGGAGGGAGGAGCTAAAGGAGGAAGCAAGGAGAGGGAGGTCGAAGAATGGAAATGGACGAGAAAGGAAGGACATGGAGGAGGAAGGATGAAGACGCAGGAGAAAGCAATGTGATGGACGAGGAAAGGAGGAGAAGGAGGAATTGAAGGACGGTAGTCCTTCCTGCCAATCTCTTGAACAGCAACGAGAGAGAGGTAGACAGAATTTCAGAGCACCATGACAGGCGAAGAAAGTGTACTCACTCACCGTGTAATTGGCTGGGCTAGGGGATTCGTAATTATTATTATTATTATTATTATTACTCGTTTGACCAGGTAAGTTAGATACATACTGCCGCTATTTGGACATATCGTGAACCGAAATGGGCAGGCCCTACCAGGTCCCCGCCCAAAACAATACCGTATTGGAGTTTTTTTTTTATCGAATTAGGTGAACGCGTAGAAGTTAGAGCAACGACGAACCGATTTGGAATTTCAAGAAGCTTCTTGGACCGGCAGATTGGAATTGGATTTTTTTTTAATCAAATTAGGTGAACCCGTTGAAGTTGGAGAAACGGCGAACCGATTTGGAATTTCGTGGAAACTTCTTGAACCGGTAGAATTGGAATCTGCCATGTAGTCCAAGCGTTTTAGATTCTTGTAGAAGCTTCTTGGACCGGTAGTTCTAAATTGGACATCGTGTGAACCGATATGGACAGGTATTCTAGAAACTTGGACAGACCCACTGTGCCCTTCGTCAAAGGACTGAACGATTTAGACTGAAGCTCACATAAATTGGTGGGCCCCACAGAAACTCGTGTATCGCTCACGTGTGCTACCTGCATCCATCACCGTGCATTCACTTCCGTCGAGCATCGAACCACTGGCCTTGTGCGGTCATGATTGTGCGTTCGCGTGCCTTGCGCGTTCACGTGCCCAATACAGTATGCCCGCTAGAGGCAGGAGAGGCAGGTACAACCGCATTGACGATGTTCAGAGGCGAAAGATCATTGAGTCTATATTCGTTGAAGGCAAAACGGTTACAAAGAATGCAGTACGCTATGGCTTTCCACGCAGTAGTGCGCACAACATCGTTATCGCGTTCGAGGCTTATGGCTCAGAGACGACCAAGAGGAGAGGAGGCAATGTCAAGAGCCGCGTTTGTCGTGAGGAACTTGGGGGGCAGGGGAATCTGATTGATGCAATCAACCGGGGTCTTTTGCGGATCACTGCCGAGATATGCCAAGGATGGATTAGAGAGGTGACACGAAACTTCGGCAAAGCTAATCGGGGCGAAGTTCTAGGTCGACAGTTTACGGGTGCAGCAGGCCGTGATTCGGGAGCAGCAGGCCCGTGATTCAGACGCATGTGACTAACATGCAAAATCGCTTCACTAAATTGATATTTTTGTTCGTCCCGATGGGGTCCACAGAATCTCAAATCGGTTGACTGTTGTACGAAATGGGGTTTCGGAATACTAATTTGTTAAATCAATCTGCCTAATTCTCTCATGCATCCAAACTGTTAAATCATTCTGTCCAAAATGTTCATCATTTATCCCAACCTATATCCAGTATGTCCAAAATGCTCATCGTTTATCCCAACCTAAATCTGATGTGTCCAAAATGCTCATCACTTATCCCAACCTGTATCGACTGCCCAAATCGGTTCCGGTCATGAACTAAATAGGAAAATCGAACTGACCAATTCGGTTTGATGATTGTCCAATTGATTTTTCGTTTGTCCAAATCGCTTCACCTTTGTCCTAACTTACTTGGTCAAAGGGGTATTATTATTATTATTATTATTATTATTATTATTATTATTATTATGTCATGACCAAAGGATTGATCAATCCACCTTCCGTTCGGCTCTGACTACGTAGCAATTAACCATCCATTCATTCAGGAACGACTGGAAAGTTTCTTGAGGACGTGGATTGGATTGGATTCCCCCTGGCGATGGTGGTGGGGGAAAAAACTGCCCTTCAAGGAGAGAGTGAGGGGTCTTTTGAGCATGTCAGTCAATCACACACCCATCTACCACACCCATCGAGCACAGCGATTGGGCTTCGCTGCACTACTCTCGACATGCACAAAAGACAAAAATATTGGCGGTGTATCTTTCCATATTCTAGCGGAAGATTCACTCTCGTTTTGCACATTTCAAGAGTATTGCAGCGAGGCCCATTGCTTGAAGTCCACCAAAATTATCGACAACTACTAAGCCTAACGAGAGGGGAGGAGAGTCACAGCTATGGCGGTCATGAGACAAGGGCCTCGCTGCAGCACTCGCCAAACGCCGACACTGAATGAATCTGGACACGGAACGGAGCTGGATCCAAAATGTTGGCATTTGGCAAGTGGTGCAAGGGAGGCCGAAGGCCAGGCTGGTAAGAAGACCCAAGCCAAGTATAACAAATATAACAGGTCCTTTGGAACGATGCAGGACCTCGGCATACCATTGTGGAATCGCCAAACTAGCGAATGTGTCTTCCGCAGAAAGAGGTAAGATGGAAAAATCGTACGCGGACAATAGAGACGGCAGACGCCCGACTACGGTAGCGCTATTCTGCGCTACGAGTCCGCTAATTCTGTGCCATCCTCAAAATTACTACCGGGAACGGGTTCGTAACTTTCGAGGGTTAGGGCGACTTGGCGGCGTAGCTAGTGAACACTGACCAAACTTCCTTCTCACCTAAGCTAGTTGCAGGTGTGAGCCCTCTGTGGAATATCAGGGGCCAGAAGGATTCCCGGCGGCCGAGGCCGGCGTCACCATGATTCACTGTGGGAGGAGATAGAGTGTGAAGGACGATTGATCAGGAGAAGGTCAACCTGTAGGTTGATCGAGTGGATGCTGGATTTTGCAGTTCGTAGCTCCGGCGCCTGAACTTCAATCAGGTCGAAAATGAAGGTATAACATCTTCCTCGCTCTTACCCGGGGGGTGGACGTGTGTGAGGAGTGTGTCTGATTCTTTCTCATTAATTGATTGGAGGCTCCGTTATTTAATTATATTTTAATCAGTATTTAGTTAATATAATTCTTAATTTAGTTAATAGCCAACTAGGATAAGAGCGAATGGCGAGTGAAAAGTTGCCTCCCCCACCTCCGCAGTTGGATAAACAGCGCATACGAGAAATTCTGACCAAATGCTACATTGATGGGATCCTCCCCCCCGGCTTGGCACCGTCCAAAGTGGAAATGGGGGACGACTACATGAGAGTTACCGTCAACCAGGATCTGTATAAGATCCAGGCGGAATGGTTGAGAGAGCATGCCATCACGATCCTCTTTGGGGATGGTTCCACGACGATTCCAACGAACGTTAAAAAACGTCTCGTTCGAATCTATGAGAATGGATGGGCCTCGTCGAGTCAACTGACCACTCTTCCACAGAGAGGGCTCTTCCACAATGAAGGAATGAACTTAATTTCATATGTGGCTCCCTCGAAAGAAGTGGCAGAATGGATGCTTCGTGTGGCCAACACTAAGATCGAGCTCGACAACGTTCTCTACTCAGTCTCCTTTCAACCTTGGATGACTGAGCAAGAGTTACGGGAATGGAGGGAGGTAGCCAGGCACCGATTCTTTTGGACAAGATGTCAACAAGTGCCGTTGGGCGCACTCCCCCTCCTACCCGGAGCCATCAGAGATGCATATGGGTGTGATCTGTTAAACCAGTTCTGTAACGTGAGTCGGCCACTGCCTTGGAAACAAGAGCAAACTCAGTGTCATAAAGATGTTTGAATGGGACGATGGACCCGTTGTCCAGCAGGTGATGCTCCCCACCAATAGATGGAGCACCCCGACAGCCTGGCCCTCCACCACGGCGGTTCTCTCACCACCGCTGGGATGGAAGGCT